TTATTTATTTATTTTATTATTTATTATTATTATTATTTTAGATTTTTTGGATCGAATCGTGTCGATACGCTATATGTATTTTGGTGTGCATGATGCGTGACGTTTGTGTTGGTTCGATCCAGTTGCGATGATCGCATTTATGCGTTAGCAATGTTATTAGTTTTTAACACGTTTTAAAATTTCTTTTCCTTTGCGTTTCTTTTTTATACGTTCATATCCGCACGATTTGGATCCGGTTGCGATGATCTCATTTTTGTGTTAGCAATATTGTTGATTTTATTTTTTAATTTTTTTATTAGCACTTTTAAAATTTCTTTTCCTTTGCGTTTCTTTTTTATAAATTCATATCCGCACGATTTGGATCCGGTAGCGATGATCGCATTTTTGCGTTTAGCAATATTGTTGATTTTATTTTATTATTTTTTATTAGCACTTTTAAAATTCCTTTCGTTTCACTTTTTCCTTTTGTTATATTCAGATCCGCACCATTTTTGTCCCTTTTGAGATGATCACGTTAACTGTAGCAAGCTAGCGATGATTTTTATTGATTTACGTGTGATGTGCTATATTTATTTATCCTTGTATTTTAATTTTACACGCGTCAGACGATTTAGCATGGTGGAAATCCACTTTTTGCGCTCACCGATTCGCATCTCGATTTGCAATTTGTGATTTTTTTTATTATCTTTTTGTTCTTGATTTGACTTGCGATGACCGCTTACTCGGTAGCATTTTTATTTTAATTTTGATTGGATCTGATTGAATTTTCCTTTGTATCTTTTCAAGTCTTTTGTGATCCAATTCACACCTTTCGCGTTATCATTTGTATCAATCATTTCTCACCATCGATTCACAATCATATTAAACCATTTTCTAAAATATCAAACTAATTCTTGACTTAATCAAGCCATTTTCATACCTTGTAAGTCAATCATTCATGATCGCCAATGGTCGTAATCGTTAAAGTATTTCATTGCACGATAATATCAGCGTAGTCTCCCCCTTGATCTTAATCTTTAGGATCATAGAATTAGGTTAGTTTTTCTCTTAAAACTAAAATTTCTTTTCTTAAAAAATCCAAAAAAATACTTTAACTTATATCTAATTTCTCTTTCAAAAAACTCTAAAAAAACACCTCACACATCTCAAATCATTTTGCCACTTGATTTTTCAGTTTAAAACTTTTCAAAAAGGACATGCTCCTAGCATTGTCCATAAAAAACACATAACAAGCAAATTTATTTTCAACAAGAACTACGGAGTTCTGATTCCCTCTGGGATGTGTAGGCACTGGGTTGAAAACTCGGACGAAAATCACTTCTTTCCCTTAGCAAGAAATAAGATATCAAACAACATACATGTCTAGATAACTTAGACGGTTCCCATCGAGTACGATGGATGTAGGGAGTGCTAACATCTTCTCCTTACATAACCGACTTCCGAACCCAACATGGTTGCGATGACCATACTCTATCCTTTTTCCCATGGGTTTTCTCGATATTTTCCCTTTCTCGTCATGGAATAAATAAAGTTCGGCGGCAACTCTTATAAGTTCATTCGTGATCGTGCAAACCCTAATTTTGTGCATCGCGGAGATCGTATTTTTTGAGGTACGACAATAAGCTTGGATTAGTCAGAGGCTTACCCAACCTGAAGTTCGCTTCAGATGCTCTTTGTAAAGCATGTCAAAAAGGCAAGTTTTCCAAAACTTCTTTCAAAGATAAAAATGTTGTTTCTACCTCCAGACCGTTAGAACTTCTTCACATTGATTTGTTTGGTCCAATGAAAACTGCATCCATCAGTGGTAAGAAGTATGGATTGATCATTGTTGATAACTATAGTCGTTGGACATGGGTAAAGTTCTTGAAACACAAGGATGAGTCACATTTTGTGTTCTCTACCTTCTGCTCACAAGTGCAAACAGAGAAGGATTGTAAAATAGTCAGAGTCAGAAGCATCATGGTGGCGAATTTAAGAACAGATACTTTGAAAATCTTTTTTATTCTTATGGCATTTCTTATGATTTCTCCTGTCCTATAACTCCACAATATAATAGGGTTGTAAAAAGAAAAAATATAACTTTGCAAGAGATAGCTTGCACCATGATCCAAGAAAATGACATGACTATTTCTGACGCCAATAGCCAAAAGCAAGCTTATTTCACCTTATATTTAGAATTTAAAAAAAAGTACCAGTCATGTACCAAGGTAACTAAGCAAATGTGCTTTGAAAGCCGGCCGAAAAAATAAAATAAAATTGAAACTGAATGAAGAGGAGGGTAGAAAGTTGGACAAGGAAAAAAAAAGATGAAGAGGAGGGTAGAAAGTTGGACAAGAAAAAAAAAGATGAATTTTCATTTTCAGATGAGGCACTGGCTTTAGTCTTATTAAATCTCATCTCATCTTGACACTCAAGAACTTATCACCTCTTGAATTCTATTATCATAAGTGAGGCAATATTAATGGCCTTAGTTTCCTGTACTTGAGATCTAAATTAATGTCATTGATGCGCCATGTCTTCGAGCATTAAAAAGAACATATATGTAGAACACTTCATTGTCTTAGCTGCAAAGTGTCAATTAAGCATATTACTTACTACAGGGCAAAACCCTCCTGTGAAGAATATAGGATGTTTTAGTTGAATAAGATAAATAATAAATTAATCTTTTATAAATAATATATATAATAAGAAACAAATATCAAATCCTTTAAAAAATTAAAAAAACAAATATTCTTTAACTTTATCTTTTACTTTGCTCTCTTAATTTTTAAAAAGTAGTCTTTTATATCTTCAAACAGCGTTATTTAAATCATTTTCATCTAATTCTTACAAACAGCGGCAATTTTTGCTCGTGTGACATGTGACGTGCTAAATACTCATACGTGATACATCTAACATGTCATAAACTCATCACAAAGGTCATTAAAATTCCAAAAATAAATCCTAAAAATTTCTAATGTAGCACTATGCCACACCACATTTGTTTCATTAGTTTACAAATCATATATATTAACAAACTAGTGGAATATTTAACCTGATGCAAAATCCAGACAATAATTCCAGCAAACTCAACAATCCCAATATATCTATCACTCCAACTATCAATCCTGATATATCCATATAACAAATCAAGTATTTATGTTGCTTCTGGCGAGTTTTTCAGGTCCAAGTAGAAGTTTGGTTTTGTAGCTTGATTGAAATCACAGCTTAAACATGGTTTGCTGCGAGTTTGGTACCTCTCATGGTTCGGTGAAGAGGTAATGATTGTTGGAGGCGTGCTGAAGTTAAGGTAAATGAGGTGTGATGGTGGATGCGAACGTCATCGCCGACGCGGTCTCAATGATGAAGAAAGAAAGGAGATTGCTGTTTGATTTGGATCGCCGACAATGGTGGTGGAGAACAGCGGATCAGGTATTGTTTGTTGAAGAAGATGAAGAATCGGGTTGTTGTTGGTGTTGACCTGACAGAGATGATGTCTTTCTCTTATCTTTCCATATGCTCTTTTTCCTTCACCTCCTTCTTCTTTCATCTCACCATAAATCCACACAATCACATAATAACAACAACAAACAAACAACTGAACAACTCTGAATTTTATCAGAAATGGAGAAGGAAATTAAAAGTTCTGATTGTGTTAGACTTAATACACTTAAAGGGGTTTTGGACGTTCTTAGTCTAATTCAGTGGCTGCACATATTGGTATGCAGTTAAGGTTGAGGCAATTTGGGATGGACAAGATCATTCAGCAAAATCTATAATTTTTAGTTGTGTAGTATTGTACATGTTTAATTTAATAGGATTAATAAGTTGTTCATGGAATAGGATTTTAGCCAGTCTTATGGAAGATAGAGATGTGGATGCAGTTGAATAGATGATAGAGACGTGGTTGTATTACGAATTAAAATACAAGAACATAACATGGCATTAATATTTTATAAGTTAATAGTAGCCTTGTTGGTAGAGGTGTCCAAAAGTAAAGTCTCTAGTTTGATTCTTATAGAAGGGCAAAATTTTAGAATTTTTTTGAAATTTTAATGATCTCTGTAATGAGTATACGCCATGTCAGCTGCCACGCATATGATTACACACCACGTCAAATGCCACGCAAGCAAAAATTGACACCATTTGTAAGTATTAGACGGAAACGATCTAAATAACGCTGTTTGAAAACATAAAAGACTACATTGGTCTTTTTAAAAATTAAGGGACTAAAATGGACCTCAAAATAAAATTAAAGGGACTAAAAAAAAGTATTTTGCCAAAAAAAAAAAAAGAAATGTTAAATATGCGGGGATATAGTAGGTTTAATTAGAAAGAGAAATTAACCACGCAGTTGATTCAGTTCAAGAGTAATTAAACCACTCTTTGATAAAATTAACTAATAATAACTACAAAACTGATCATCATTAAGGAGGCTTTAACTTTAAGCATTAACAATATGCAGCACAAAATCCACTTTTCAATTTATCCAAAAAGAAATATCAGACTTAGCTCATTTTCAATTTACTGCTGGGAATCATATTTTCATCCAGAAAAAGTGCTAGGAAGCCGATACTTAACTATAGAATAAATGATTGGGAAATAGATAAATAAAACGCGTTAAAGAGAAGCAGGACGTTCAGGTTGGCATAAAGAAAAATATTAATATCTTTCTAGATGCAGTTTGCAAGTTGTGCAGCTTACCCTAGATAGATGGATGGCACGGATGCAGAAAAAGGTGGTTCAGTAGCTTTTAGAATAGAAACTTCAAATATACAAATGCCATCAAATTGAGAAAATGTTTTATTTAGTATTATAATGTAATGAATCAGCTGAGATGCATGTAAATAAATACTGGGAAACCAATTTGAATCCAGATTCTAAAACACTCCACCATCAGAAACACCTATCCTAAGTTAGGTCATATCTAGTATTCAGAATATGCCTCAATTCGCTCTTCCAGCTAGCATGTACAACTACTCTGTAAGTCAAAGACAGGTACGGTTTAATCACATCAAAGATCATACCTGAAACAATGCCTTAACAACTGAACCACCTACTTGACTTCCATCAGCCATGTATCTGTTATCATCTGAACCAATTGACTGTGGGCTTGACCTTGTGTTTTTTGTCATTGGCGTCTCACATACAGTATCATAACATGCCCTTGACCGGTCTTTCCTTTTTGGAATCTTACAAAGGTGATCTGTCTTGGATTTCATACCCTTCTGCTTTGGGGCCCAAACTCGCAAAGCAGGCATTCGACTTTTTATGTATGAAAATCTGTGTGCCCTTTCTCTCCTCTCCACAGCTTCAAATAGTTTTTTATCACAACCCCCATCTATATTCCTTCGGGATTTTCTTTTGACAATCTTCTGCAAATGAAAAGCCTCGTCTTCTGCTGAAAAGGGTCCGTTAATAACATCATTTTCCCCCATCTCATCCCCGTATACTTTTAGATTCAATGATTTGCTGCTGTCCTCACTATTAAATAAAAAATCTGGGGCTTCATCCTGATTTGAAAACAGAAGCAGGTCCATTTTGCTGTAGATTTTATGAACAGTGTCTTCAAGGGTGTGAGAATACCTGAAATTCGGCAGGTTTATCAAACATAAGCGTGCATGCTTTCTTTATTTTATGCAGTTATCAACTACAGTTCATTGTTTCCATGCGGAAAAGAGAATCAAACAAAAAGAACCTCATACAAACTCTAGTACACAGTAAAACAAGAAGCAAGCACCCAAAATGTCAGATATTGGCATGATTGTAGAAACATGAAAATAAATTGAGTTATTGACTGCTCTCTAAGCAGAATCTAAGAATTCCCTAAATCTCCACAGTTCATGCACATGATATAAGTTTGGAGGAAGTATCAATCAACATGTAAAACATCTCAATCAAGTTATACAAGTACTTACCTGCTTTTTATAATATTTGCCACATAATTTTCAAGGTTCCAATCACCAAAGAACCCCCCCTCCATATGGCACTGAATGTTCTCTAAGAGTAGACATATTTGTTTGACAAACTTCTGTTTACTGGAATCTTCGATTCCACACCCAACCTCTGATTGTAAAATTTCCATTCGAAATAAAATCTGTAGTTCATATCTAATTCTCACTTAAGGAAAAACATGATAATAAATTTCACAAATTATACAACTGATTAGAACTAGAAAAAAATGCATCATAAATATAAATTACAGAAAACTAAATAAAAGGATACTCTCTAACTGCATGTTCTGTGATTATTGTAGCTGGTCCTGCTACATCAGATAACTGAGAGGACGAATTTCTGCTTTTATGCTTTGCAGCTATCTCCTTGGGATCCTTCAACAGTAGTTTTATTAGTTCAGACGCAACCACACTACCACATGCCTTATTATCATTCATATGAGAATCTATCTGGGGAATTGTTTCCCTATCAACCTTCTTACATAGCCAGTATATAGATGAATTCACGAGTCGCTCTGACAAAGCTAGGAGGTCTATGGTATTAGATTCAATTCCTTGTTGAATTCTGCTGGAAAGATTACTAAAAAATGCTTGAGATGTTTCATACTCGCAATCAAGCACAGCATCATCCTGTTTCATAGCAACCCCGGCATTAATTTCATTTGACACAGCCACCAGTGACATTGACTGTTCACCATTTTGAGGTAACTCATTCAATTTACTCTCAGACCCTTCTGCAATTATCTGATTTGGCTTGGGATTTTCGGACAAAATCAGATCACAACAACTAGATTTCTTCACCTGTTTCATCCAGCATTTCAAAAACTTCAACTTCTTTGACTTGTTACATTCCATTGTACAATAAACCTCATGCAGATCCATCTCAAATTGATCATACACTAAATCACAAAAAGAGTTCCACGTGAGCTTTTGAAGTACATTTAAATCCGTCATCTTCTTTTTCTGCTTACCCTTAATTCCCACGGCACTCTTGACCTGAGAATCCAACATACCCTTGTTCTTGTCAAATTTGTGATCCGATTCGCTAATACCTGTCCTGATAGAAGAATCCATATTTGCTGCACAAAAATCAGAAGCCAATTGTGGATCCTCCAAGATAGATAAAAGAGCTGAAGAAACAGTAAAAGGCCTAAGAACACCAACACAAGAACCACCACTTTTGCCACTGTCAACCAACACCAAAGCCCAGCAATCTTCTTTATAAAGATAACACAACAAGATCTCCCAAACAGGAATAGATTTCCGTCGCCCTTGGCAGCCAAATTCACTTGCAAGCAGTTCACGAACCCTATCAGCGAAAAACTCACCTGAATCTCCTTTCTTAGATTCCCCTAAAACCTCACGCACCAGAACCGAATCAGAGAGGCAGTCATTCAATTTAACAAACGCGTCACACTTGCGCACAGCCATAACTTTCAATTTCGGCATCCCATCCGAACACACATTCCACAACCTCTCCTTCTTTCTCCCACAACCACCACCACCTTGCAAATTCACATCCTCCCCTCTACCCAAAACCCTTAAATCCAAAACTTCAAGATCACAACAATTGTAATCAATTGGACTCCCATTAACATCCAAAATACTAAGATTCAATTGAACCTTAACCTCCCTAGAACAACTACGAACAGAAAACCTCGAAACCCCAATTTTAGGGTATATCAAACCAAAAGGAACAAGAGCAGAACCAAGCAAAATTGAATCCAAAGAACAAAAACCCCAACCTAATTTCCTTGCCCCAATCTCAAACAGCCCACGTATCACTCCAACCTCATCCTCACGACTCCCACTCAATCTATTACTATCACTATTAACACCAATCCAACTACAATGAACACCTCTAGACCCAAACCGGCGGCTCACATTCCCGAAAAACCCTAAAAATTTGTCACAGAAAGAGCTCTCAATTCGCAACAAGTCCTCGTTCGATTCAAAAAATCCGGCGAGTGAATTGAAGGAATCGAACAAAGGAGTGAACAATAGGATTAAATTAGGCTGAACAAGAAATGTTGCGGCGTCGAAATCAGGCTCCCAGGGGTAATCATGGAGAAGCTGTGTGATGGAGTCAATGAGATGTGAAGCTTTGGGGTGATGTGGTAGAGGGAAATTGGGGAGTGAGGAGAGAATTTGAGAGAGGAGAATGAAAGACGAGGAAGGGTGGTCGAAGGAGAAAGAGTGTTTGGGGAGAAAAGGGTGGAGTTTGCAGAAGGAAATGTGAGGTGGAAGGGAAGAGAAGAAGAATTTGAAGGCGAAAAGAGAGGAAGAAAGGGGAGGGAAAGAAAGTAGGGTTTTGGAAGTGGAGAGAATGCTTTTGATGTAATGGTGGTGGTTGTTTTGGAGGAGTGGGTCGAGATCTATGAGGAGAACGATTCGGTGAGTGTGGGAGTAACATGTGATTGGATCTAAGTTTGAACAATTCATTGATCGAAGAAAGATTGACGGTAATGAGAGTGAACCTGTGTTGTTGTTTATTGTCTCATTTCATTTGATGATGGAAGGAAGGAAGATGATCCCTGCACTAAACTCCCGCCAAAAAAATTTCTCTCCAATTTTTTACTTTGGCCGGCTAGGGTCGTCAGTCCGTTAATGTTCACCAATATACTTAGATGTTTATCATATAGGAACACCTTATGGTCTGAAAAATTCCAATTTTACCCATAATATCAACATCATATGGTTTCAAGATTCCAATTTTTCCATAGAATGGACATCTTATGGTTCAAGGATTCCAATTTTACCTCTATTATCGATAGGGGTGGTAAAATGGGTCGGGTTCACCAGATTAGTTTGTTCGACTCACCATTTTTGGTGGGTTGAATTGAGATTTTCGGCTCGATACTTTAAGTTGACCCGTCTGTTGGCTCTAAATTTCGACGTCTGAATTAAATTAAAAGAAAGTAATAGAGTTTTTGAAGAAATCAAATGACTTCGACCAGAACTACATTTTTGGAGTGTGAGTCGAAGGCGTCCCTTTGCAAGGAGAAATTATTTTGTGGACTTAGAAATATTTCCTAATAATTGGAAAATGTGATGCGACAAAGGTGCGACTGAAGGCATTTCGACAAGAAGATTTGAATTTCAAATAAAGGAGGGAATGTTCATTCTTATTCATTTCTCAAAGAAGACACGTAGAGCGCTTCCAAGAGTCGAAGACATGCAGAACGCCACTTGTCTTGATTTAGTTCGCTAGTCGTTGATGGTAATTATTTTCGATTAGTATAAATAACAAGTCTTAGTGTTAGAGTTTGTGTGTGTTCAATTCTGTACAAATTCCTCAATATACTTAAAGTATCCGCGTGCAGAGAAACGAGTTCGTGAGAATGTACGTTGATGTAACACCATTTTTACATTTCAATGCAATTCAATAAGTCTTTTTCATTAAGAATTTATCCTTTCCTTGCGCCAGTTACTTTCTATATTTTTTACCAGTCTTTCGACTTTAATCTCTTGTGTATAATTCCATTTACATTTTTGAAATAAGTTATTTTTATCATGAACTATGTCAAAGTGTTCATTGTTTTTCCAAACTTTGTTTAAGATCAATTAGCACATGTCCTAGGATTTGTTGTGTGGTCGATCCTGCGAGTAAAACAAATCTTTTTCTATTTAGAAGACCAACGGTTGTTCACCAATTTTCACGGCGAATAAGTTGGCACACTCAGTGGGATAGTGCTAAGTGATCATAAAATTTGCTTCGAAATTTTTGAAAATTCATTAGTTCGGTGGTCAAATTTCTCTTTGAAAACTTTGTTGCATGTTATTAAGAAGTGGTAAAGTAGTCACCACTAACGAAGATAGAACAAGGAGAAGATATAGGAGGAGAATGACGGAAAACTCTAACCAGCCAAGTATTCCTCAGGATACGCCTAGTAACAATGTAGAACCACCCATAGGATCTTCGGCAGGAGGACCTACGGTCTCATCGCTTATCTCTAAAGCAATACCATTTATGGGAAGTTCAATACCTACCCATTTGATTACCCATACACAATCCATTTTGACTTATATTGGGCCAAGGGGTCCTCCACAGACTCCACCACCAATAGAGGCTTCAGCATTCAGAAGTGACCCTCCTCCTAGATTTGCAATACCCTGCCTCGAGACCCACCCTATGGAATGCCAACTTCAATGATGACAAACTTACAAAACGCCTTTCCATTATATACAGAATCCATAATGACTTCACCATTACAAGGATCGGGCTCTAGGGTAAATATGATTCGAAATAGTCAAACTTTAGGATTAGGGTATTCCACCCAAATGCCAAATTTGACAACTAGTTCTGTATCATACTTAAGACAACAAATGGACAAAAGTAACCTTTAAATGGTCCAAATAATGTCCCAAACTATGGGGAAATCTTTCAGCCTCTTATTCAGAATACTACCCAAACTAATCAACAATTAGCAACGCAAATGACGCGTCTTGTAGAATTATTTGGTGTACCAAATCCCCCTCGACAACCACCAAGGGAGTATATGATAGAGAACCAAGGGGTAGTTTTCGACGAAGATACCACCATTAACTAAATTCAACAAAATCCGTGAAATATACCCCAGGCAAATCAAGACAACCAGGGAATGATCGAACGACCTAGAGTCGAACCCCTTAGGAATCAACTACAAATTCCTAGAGAAGAAGAACCAAGGGTAGTTTTGGTAAATATAAACCAGAATGCTAAAAATGTTGTACAGTAAGTTCGACGTAACAACGTAGTAGCAGATAATAATTTGGTTGCCATGGTCGAAAGAATCATGGCACGTAATGGAGTAAATTTTGGTCTTCGACGGCCAAATTGTACATCATCGTTATCTGAATACATCCTTCAGTCAGATTTACCCCTAGGAACAAAGGTTCCTAAGTTTTCTGGGGATACTACTGAGTCCACTATCGAACATGTGGCTAGGTATTTGATAGTAGCCGGAGAAATTTCGAATGATGAGAACCTTAGGGTAAAATATTTCCCAAAATCTCTTACAAAGAACGCTTTCACTTGGTTCACAACCCTACCTCCAAATTTGATTCATAATTAGACCCAGTTAGAACGTTTGTTCCATGAGGAGTTCTACATGGGACAAACAAATATTAGTTTGTGTCGTAAGCCGAAATTTGACCTCCTTCTTGCCTTTTGCATAAGCATGTGCATTTGCATCATTGGCATACGCATTCACACATTTTCTCTGTGATTTTTTGTTGCAAGAATATTCAGGTATTCCAAGCCCGATTAATCACATCTTCTCAAAAATATCACATCACCAAAACAAACACAAAATGAAAGTTTCTATGTCTATTCATCAAAGCAAAAGGTCGAAAATCGAAATTGTGGCCACAACACCATTTTACAAGCAAAATATGAAAATTCTACCTGTGGTAATCGATTACCACTTTTCTAGGCTAGGGTAATCGATTACCCTGTGTAAAAATGCAATTTTTGCTGCATTTTCTATGACAGCCACTTTCACTCTATATTTTGAGGGTCTACTTGGTTCTAGCATTGTATGGAACATTCTAGACATCTCTAGACACTTTAAGATCTTTCTAAACACTTTAAGGCATTTACTCCAATACATCAATTTGGACTAAGACCACCATGTTGCTTCATTCCCAAGCATGTGAGCCCTTAGATTCAAGTTTGCATTGGGATGGTTACCGAGTCAACTACCTAACTAACTGAGTTAACCTCAAACTTAGTGAGTTGATGCTAACTAAATCCAAGGCTAGTTCCAAGGCTACATCCAAAGCTCACTCTGAACCTAGCAACTCCAAAGCAAAACTCTATATAAGCAAATCATCACCATTTTACAAAGGACCCTTTAACCATTTTTTGACCCTTGATCATTTTTTCGCACATTTTGATCCCTTGGAAAAAAGTTTGTGATAACCAGCTGGTACCACAGATTTGCCTTAATAGTTAGATCAGAAGCTTTATAAGGATTTCCAAAATATTTGGTGACAGAGAGAATGTCTTTGCAAAAGGAAAGTTGGTTATGTACTTTTCAATATCAATACCATGTTCTTCACACTTAATGACATCATCAATTAGTGAAGAAGTGATGGTAATAGGAGTTTGTTGTACCCCAAATTTTGCCCAACCTTAACTGGCTTTTATTTCTTTGCATTTTTTCATTTTTTTTTGCATATCATAGCATTTTGCTCTCCAGGCATGGGGTCGAGGCATTCCTGTGGCTTAGGTTCATTTCGGCGCAAAAGACTGAACAACGGACAACGGGCATTAGAGGCTCGGGCATTTATTTTGCCCAGCGGTCAGGCGGCCAATTTTATTTTATTTTGCAGGATAACGGCAATTCAGAAGGCAGCACTCAGGCTCATGTCAAGCATGTTTACAGTGATAACATTCAAGAACAAGGTTCAGAAGCTTAACGGAGCTCCAAACAGTTGAAACAGGGCAAATGTGCAGATTTCCCTCCAAAAGGCGCCAAAATTCAAAATTTGAAGGTGTTAACCGATTAACCTATATGGTTAATCGATTAACCAAGGAAAAATCAGGCCATATTTGAAAATTTGAAGGTGTTAATCGGTTAATGCATATGGCTAACCGATTAACCAGTGCAATTTTTGCCCCTGTGCGTGATTTTTCAATGCAGAGCCATTTGGGGTCCAATTTTGATCACTTGAAATCAAACTTTACACTTGGGAAGGATCTAGAATCATTTCATAATTTCATTTTCCCTCCAAAATCTCATTCCTCATCCCAAACCAAAATTCACAAACCAATTTCCAAGCCTCTCATTTGGATTAAAACCTAAGTGATATTTAAGTGATTCATTCCAAACCAAAGCTAGCTAATCTTCATTTCTCACTCTCATTTTTCAGAATTCATCTCAATTCTCTCAAATTCTCTCTCAATTCTCCAATTCCAAAACCTTCACTCAAAGCTCTTTTCTATTGAATTCTTTGATTCTTCCTTGGAATCAATGAATTCTTGAGCTCAAACCTCCACCCATCATCTCCATCGAAGGGATTTCATCATCTAATTTTCGTGCACAATTGGATCTGAATCTGGAAGTGATTTTGGAAGTGATTATTTGGCTTATTTTGGATTAATCTTGAAGGATCTCCATCGCTACTACAAGAATTGGTGTGGATCTTGAAGTATTCCAGACTTCTAGCATCGGATATATTCAATTACAGTTGAATCAACATTAACTGGAGCAAATCTCTCCGAATGTTGGATCCGAATCTGTTTTTAGCTTATTTGCATAATCATGTGGATTTTCATCTTTGATTGAATTTTGGTTAATTTGATCAGTTTGATCCATGATTTGGTTGTGTTAATCTTCTTACATGTTGTTTGAATCATGATTTGCTGGTTTAATTTCGTGCACAATTGATTATGAGATCATGTGGAAGTTTGCCTAAATGATAAGTTGTTGTTAAGTGCTTTTCTGCTGCTGTTTACT